GATCTGGTACTGACAATGCACGCCTCCCGAGCCACCACCCGGCACACCACCACGCGCACGACCACCGCCAGCGCCAGTCCACCCGGGCGGGAGGACACTCGCCTGCCTCGTCTGCGGCGGCTGCTGCGACCGCTGCGACTGCTGCGGCTGCTGCTGCTGCTGCAGAGGCGGCTACTCAGCTGAACCGGGCAGGGTCCCCTTGTCCACTCTAGTACCAGACGACCCGACTCTACCACCACCCCCGCCTGCACCCCCTCCTCCTCCGCCGCGCCCAGCCTTGAGGTGGCGGCCCTTCCCCGAACGGAACAGCGCTGCAGCAGCGGTCTCAGCCACAGCGGCAGAACCGTCGGAGAAGGTACACTGAGCGGGGGCACAATCCTAAAAGATAGGGACCGGCAGAGTACCGCTCGCCTGGGCGATGGAGCGGTGGCGGGTCTCAATAACAGTCAGGGTGTCTTCAAAGTCTGTGAGGGTGAGCTCACCGGGGTGAATGCTAAGGAAGCGGTCGCGAGCGGCGGCAAGGCAGTCAGGGAGGCGGATGGCAAGCAGGTAGAGGGTAGAGGTAATGGGCGGCTGGTGGGCTTGAAGCTGTGCGTCAGTGTAAGCAGCGCGCCAGGTCTCATCTATCGTGCACAGGTGGGCAGCTAGGTCAGCGACAGTAGGGAAAGACGCAAGGTCAGGAAAGAGCATCGGAAGGATCAGACGACCCACCGAGGCAGCAGGAGGTGTGGAATAGCGCTTGATGACAGCATCTAAGAAAGCCTGGGCGGTAGTGATGGACCTAAACCGAGGGCGCTCAGACGGGGGAAGGGCATTGCTAATGGCAAGTTGGGCGACAGCGTCTCGGGAAAGCCAGACAGAGCGCGCAAGAGCAGCGGCTGCAGTAGACTCGCGCTCAGCGGGTGTGGCGTTAGCGGACAGCACAGCAGGGGGGTCTGGGCAGGGGAGCGTACCGTCAAGGTGGGCGGAAAGCGGGTGGCCATCCTGCCGCTGGCCAGTGAGGTGGCGGCGGAGGTCGGCGAGCCACGCCTCGAACTCCAGAGGCTAGCCTTCAGCGTCGAAGCGAAGCTCCGCCGCCATCAGGAGCAGTGCAGGATTGTACAGGTCGGTACAGTGTGGTGCAATACGGTGCAGCGTGGTAGAGTGCGGTACAGGGCAGTGCAGTGTGGTGCAGTGCGGTACCGTGCGGTGCAGGGCGGTGCATGTGAGGGGGAACCGTACCAGGAAGAGTGCAGGGCCGGAGCAGGGACGACGTGCGGGCCGCACACAGCTCGGGGCAGGACGGGCACGGGGTCGGCTGGGACGGGCGCGGGGTCGGCTGGGACGGGCGCGGGGCCGGCTGGGACGGGCGCGGGGCCGGCTGGGACGGGCGCGGGGTCGGCTGGGACTGGCGCGGGGCCGGCTGGGACGGGCGCGGGGTCGGCTGGGACTGGCGTGGGGCCGGCTGGGACGGGCACGGGGCCGGCTGGGACGGGCGCAGGGGCCGAGCGGACGGGCGCAGAGGTCGCGAGGGCAGGCGCGGTGCCGGCTGGGACGGGCGCAGGGGCCGACAAGGATGAGCGGTGGGGTCGCTGGGGTAGCGCGGGGGCCGCTAGGGCGGGCGCTGGGGCGGGCGGGTAGGTCCTAGAGCGGAAGCGTGGGTGGGCGGGGACCTACCTACTGCTGATACCATCTCAAAAACTGAATGAAGGATAAGAGAGAGGGAGTACAGGTGAATATATCTAAGTGTTGTACCCTCTAAGAGGTGACCCTATATAGTCTATGCAAACATAAGAGATAAACATGTTTGACAAACAGGACAGCTGGCACGCTTCGAGAGCGTCCGCTAAGAACGCACACTTTTCGAGCGGGTCCTAAGGGCGATGAGACTCACGTGACGTGTCACGTGCAGGCAGCCCTCTCTTTTGGCCTTGCCGTTTTAGGGTTTGCCCCCACCCCCAAGTGGTATGGGGAGGAATGTCTCTGATGTGGGGGGGGGGGGACTTTGCCGATTTTTTTGGGGTGCGAGGGGTGTGGGTGGGGTGGGGAGGAATGTCTCTGGTGTGGGGAACTTAGCCGATTTTTTTGGGGTGCGAGGGGTGTGGGGAGGAAGGAATGTCTCTGGTGTCGGGAACTTAGCCGATTTTTTTGTATGCGAGGGGTGTGGGGCAGGGCTCAAAATTGGTTTAGAGGCACCCTTAGGAATCAGGGTACCGCAACAGAAATACCCTGTCTCCTAGGGTGGAATTTTCAGCACCCTTTGAAAATCAGGGTGAATTCGTAAAAACTAGTCAATACCCTGTTTGAGTCAGGGTACTAATGCCATCACCCTGTCCACTGCGCGGTTAACAGCTACTACAATTTCAACTTCTTACTAGCAAGCATACAAGCAGGATCACTACAGCAAAGAATCAATAGCCTCTCCTACTTCAGCTACTTCCGTCAGCATTGCACCACTGCAGAGATACAGCAACAGCGGTGAGGGCAGTAACAGCTACAGTGTTCCTTCCTTCCGCGGATGAAGCTGCTGCTGGAGGTGCTGAAGGGGAGGAAACGCAGGGGCAAGGACATGGTGATGCGCAGGGGGAGGAGCGAGAGACTAACAGAGCAGCGGGAGACTAAGGGCATATTCGTGAGTTTCGACTCATTTCGCTCATGAATACGCCCTTACGCCCTTAGTTTTAACTCGCATGCGCAGCGAGAGACTAAGGGCGTATTCATGAGTTAGCATCAGAAACAAAATCAGAATCAAAGCCGCGCAAATCCGAACCGAACCAAACCTCATTTCACTCTTGCACCTTACTTTACCGTGCAAGTCTGAATTCGAATCTGTTTCTGGTGCTACCTCAGGAATACGCCTTGAGGGAGCAGCGAGATACTAAGGGAGCAGCGAGAGACTACGGTAAGAGAGCAGCGAGAGACTAAGGGAGCAGCGAGAGACTAAGGGAGCAGCGAGAGATTACGGGAGCAGCGAGAGACTACGGGAGCAGAGAGAGACTACGGGAGCAGAGAGAGACTACGGGAGCAGCGAGAGACTACTGGAGCAGCGAGAGAGTATGGGAGCAACGAGAGACTAACAAGGCTGGGAACGAGCGAGAGAGACGAAGGCAGGGAACAGAGACACTGGGGGAGGGAGCGGCCAAAACGAAAATCTGTTGGTGCAAAGTGCCGCGGGATTCGGTGTAGGTGGGCGGGGCTGCCTGCCTGCGTGGCAGATTCAACAGTTGGCATATTTCGAGGGTTGGGAGTTATCTGTTTCAGGGTGTTTTTTGGCGCACCCTGATTGGTCAGGGTAATAAGACGAACACTCTTGCTACAACAGGGTAAAATATTCCTTACACTTTCTGAGAAAGGGTCAGAGAAAAATTGGCCTTACAAAATCAGGGTAATCCTGAAAAAGCGGCCGCTGGCAAGGGTAATCAGGGTGAAACACCCTTCAAATTTGAGCCCTGGTGTGGGGAGGAATGTCTCTGGTGTGGGGGACTTCGTCGAAATCTTTGGGGTGTGGGGTGTGTGTGGAGCCGGTACACATGTATGTCTTTGTTTCAGAGAAACTCGATTCACTTGTCTAAAAATCAGAGAAACTGGTACACCTAGTCTGAGAAATTCAGAGAAATCTCAAAAGCTTGTCTAGGCCAATCAGAGTATTTTCAAACCGTTGTCTGAAAAATCATAGAAACCCCTAAAAACCAGTCTGAAAATCAGACAATCAGACAAAAAAAGTCTGCTATTTAGGACCCTGGCTACTGTCAGAAACTAGCTTAGCTAGGAAGCCATAGAATGGCACAAGGTTTAGCTAGGAGCTAGGAGGAGCCATGAGAATGGCGAGAGGTTTTAGGTGCTAGGAAAGTTGAGGAGAGAAAAGGTGTTGGATTAGAAGAGAGGGGAGTACAAGGAGGGGTTTGTACCCCCTACAGAAAGGTTCAGTAACAACCTACCAAGCCTATATTAAATTATAACTTATATAATTTGAACACACCCCCTAGGCTTGGTAGTCACATGCCCACACACACCCACACCCCCTAACCTAGCACCCCCATTCCAGCCACAGTGACAGCGACTCTAGGTCGGTCGACCCCACGGCGCGTGAGGCGGCGACGTCGACCGCAGGGGCTGCGGCGGCGACGGCGGCAGCGGCGGCAGTGTCGACAGCGGCGGCGGCGGCGGCGTGCGGCTGCGTGGCCCCGACGCAAGCGGCGACAGCGGCGGCGGCGGCGGCTTCGACAACAGCGGCAGCGGCGGCGGCACCCGCACCTCTCGGTGACGTGGCCAGGCCCCGCGACGGTGGGACGGCCGGCGGGAGTCAGCCGTCGTCTGCGGAATGGAAGAGGGCACAAGGGAAGGAGGGGGGTGGGGGGGGGGGGCGCCACAGGCTGACATGCGGGCGGCCGGTCTAGCGGCGCCACAAGCGTCACGCGGCCGGCTGCAGCCCGACGACGCCGTCATGGAGCGGCGTCGATGCCGCAGCGGGGCGTCGACGTTGCGACGGCAGCACGACGTCACCGTTACGGCGACCGCGCGCTGTCGCGTAGACGCCGCGGCAGCGTGACGGCGCCGTCACGTCGCGACAGCATCTTGACGCGACGGCGGAGCTGCGGCACGACGGCGCGGCCACAGCAGCTGGACGCGGGCGCCATGGACGTCGACGGCGGCGCCGCGGCACGACGACGCGGCCACAGCAGCTTGACGCGGCCGCCATGGCAGCGCGAGATAGAGAGAGAAACGAGCACGCAGCGGAAACGCGAGGAGCAGGCCCACGCGGAACGAACTGCTCTAATACCATGTCAGAAACTAGCTTAGCTAGGAAGCCATAGAATGGCACAAGGTTTAGCTAGGAGCTAGGAGGAGCCATGAGAATGGCGAGAGGTTTTAGGTGCTAGGAAAGTTGAGGAGAGAAAAGGTGTTGGATTAGAAGAGAGGGGAGTACAAGGAGGGGTTTGTACCCCCTACAGAAAGGTTCAGTAACAACCTACCAAGCCTATATTAAATTATAACTTATATAATTTGAACAGCTACGACCTGCTGGCTTGTGGGTTACATTCCATAAGAGCATCAGATGACAGCACGGAGGAGGCCTGAAGTGGACCAACAATGCTGGCCTCCCAACACCTGCCTTAGGCTGGTACACCTCATCTCCAGCAACCTGATAAGCATGACATGCCAATAAGTCTCCCTTCAATATTGGCACATTGAATATCAATTCACCTCCAGAAAGTTACACAAGGGACTAGAACCAATTTTAGGAGCTGGTGAAATCCCTTGCACAATGTGTTATGCCATCTCTGCGGCTGCTACCAACAACCGTGCACCGGCCTGAAGCCAGCATCACAACACAACTCCAGGCTTGTCACCACTGGGCTTCGTCGTGACCCCGCAGGTACCTCAACCATTACTACCACCTAGTCTCACCGCCAACTGCCAAACCCTCGAAACAATCAAGTAGTACCTGCTCCACACCTCTGACTCCCCATCCCATCCACTATCGCCCATCTTTTCGTCACCCCTCTGTTTGCCGCCCAGCCCGGTGCTCCCCCCCTCCTGCTGTCCTCACCGAGAATCCTCTCAGCTCTCCCTGCTGCTTCCCCGCCCGCCCCCTTTCCCCCCAAGTACATTCTTGACTCCCCCTGCTGTTTCCCCACCCTACTCCCATCTCCAGATCCGGCCTCCCTCATTCGTCACCTCGCTCACTCTCCACCACACCTCTCTCTCCTCTCTTTCAATATCCATCTCAGCCTGTCCACACAACCGACTCACTATCTCACCAAGCACCCACCTGGTTAACCTTAACCTCCCAGCCGCCCCACCCCTGAGCCTTGAGGTTCACCCCTGCACGCGGCCTTCCCCCCCGGGGCTGCCTAGATGCACGCATCCACCGTTGCTCCACCACTCGTCCTTTGCCGCTTGCCCTACCTCCTGCACCTGTCACGTTTGCCCCAGGCTTTTCTTGCACATGCCACGAGAACCAGGGGGGCCTGCACAACAGCCGCTTGACCTGGGGGCAACTGAGGCGAGCGCAGAGAGATCACTTCAATGCAGCACGGGCTCTTAGGCACGATGCAACACGCCCCACACCAGGGGGCAAGGGCCAGTCCCGGGCATGCTGCGCAGGAGTAGCTGCAGTGGCGACGCCGTCTGCTGCTTTGCGCGTCTACTGCTCCCCCTTGCTCCTCTGACTCACCCTTCCCACCTGCGCTGCTCCTGCCCCACCTGCCCGCTGCTCCAGGGTGCATGCTTGCTGCTGCTGCTGCTGCTGCTGCTGCCCACATGTCCACATGCTCAAGGCATTCTGAGACGAATCCTCCTAGGCTTCAAACCAGAAACAGCTGGCAACCGCATGCCCATGTCCATGCCTATGTGGCAACCGCATTACTCAGAAAACATCATGCAAAAGCTAACAAATGGAAAAAACGCTGGAAAGAACATTGGGAGAGAAAATAACAGCAAACTGGACCCAGCTGTCCTGTCCTGCTGATCCGGCCTCGAGTCCTCTGCGAGCCCCTGGGATCCCCCTCCTCCCTCACCTCCTCCTCCGGTTCAACCTCGCCTGGCTGTTGCTAGAGAAGTCCGACAGTGACCCATCCACCACCCCCAAGTTGTTCCGCCCAGGCCGCTCTCTCTCCCTCTCCCTCTCCCTCTCCACCCCCCCTCCGTGGCCCCCCTGCTGATCCCTGGCCCTCACCAGCACGATAGGCTGAACGCCCCCCCCTGGCCCTCCCACTCCACCACCTGCTGCTGCCCCTGCTCCCAGAACCCCAGCGCCTGCTCCCCTCCCCCCACCGTGCCCTTGCTGCCACTGCCCGTACCCACCTGCTCCTCCTGCCCCCCCTCCCCCTCCTCCTCCCCAGCCTCCCCCTCCCCCCCTCCTGCACCCACAAACCCACCAGGCACAGGCGCGAACGGCCTGTCATCCTCAGCCCTGTCATTGTACTCCAGCACCCGTCTCTTGATGTCCTGCCTCTCCCGCTCCTCCTCCTCCTCCTTGCGCCTTGTTGCTACTGCAATCGCACTGTCGCTGGGCACCATCAGCTCGCGGGCCTGCTGCTTATTCCCCCTCTTCACCAGCACTCGGAACACCGTCATCTCAGCTGCCTTCTCCTCGCCCCCCTTCCCTCCTCCTCTCCCTCTCCCTCCCTGTCTCCTTCCCCCCCCTCGTCATCAGCATCATCCCCATCATCCACCTTCCCTGCACCAACACCCACCCCCCTCCCCCACCCCTCCCCCTCCACCCCCACTCGTGCCCGTGCTGCCATCCAGCAGACTCATGGGAATCGCAATGTTGAGCACGCCAGCGCCGCGCTTCTCCAGCTTCCTCTCCGCCAGGCTCTCCTGCATGAGCGCGCGGAACTCCTTGTCAAAATCCTCCAGCTCCTCTGGATCCACCTCCGCCTCTTTCTTCCCCCCACCAGCTTCACCTTATCCTCGTCCCCCTCCCCTTCCTCTGCCTCAGCTTCGCTTGCTTCCCCCCCTGCGCCCCCCTCCCCTCCATCTCCCCATCGTCATCATCCTCCTCCCCTCCCCCGTCCTCCCCCTCTCCAGTTTCGTCCCCATCGTCCTCCTCCCCTCCCTCCTCCTCCTCCCCTCCCACAGTCTCCTCCTCACTATCACTCCGCTCCTCCTCCCCCCCCTCCCCCGACTTTCCTGTTTGATCCGTCTGCACTTCTACGTTCTCAGGAATAGGTCCAAGGCCCCCGCCTCCCACCCCTGCCCCTCCTCCTCCGCCTGCTGCTCCCAACCCTGCTGTTGCACCAGCGCTGGCACCTGTTGTTCCTGCTCCCTCCCCTGCGCCTCCCCTACCCCCTCCCCCTCCCTTGGCCGCTGCCCTCTCAGCGTCCTGTTGCAGCTGTGCCTGAGCCTCTTCCAGGGTAGCGAATCGCTTCATACGGGGACGCAGCTTCGCAAATAGGTCCTGGAGGAGGGGAGGGGCAGCGGAGCGAAGGACAGAATGCGGAAAGCAGAGAGTTTTCCCCGGGCAGCGTTGAGACATCAAAGGCTGCAAGACGGAACAGGATATATTCACAAGGGTTTCGGAAGGGTGTTTGAGGGTTTTTTAGGGTCTCTGAGGCAACCCGCCCCAAGAATGAAGAGATGGTGTGGAGGAGGGGAGAGTGGGCAAGACTGCTCACAGCAGGAGGGCTGAACGATGGTAATGACTGGACTCGGGTCCACCCCTGATTCCACATCCAGTGCCACAGACGCCTTGGCCGCACTTGCGCCTGGAAGTGACCATACTCTCTCTCACCCCCTTGGTCTTCAAGAAAGGCATTCTTCTTCAGGCATCTAAACCCCGCCGGGGCACGTAAACAAGCAATCCCATGTTGGACGCAGATCGACACCCCAAGCTGTCACCAGCAGGTCAACATTCAAGTTTCAACCACTCCTCCACGCCCAGCGGCACGCTGGGCTTGGTGGGCAACACGTAGGCCAGGAAAAGTCCGCGCCCTCAAAACCCACACGCCCACCTGCAGGTGAGTCGAACTCCACATTCGTCCAGTGGGAGAGAGGGCTTGGGGAGAGAGCCTGGACGAGCCCATACCCCCATGTCCCCACCAGGGCACCCCTGTCGACACGCCACCTTGGGCCATCCCAGAATCCACATGCAGGTCGGTCGAACTCTACATCCATCCAGTGGCACGCAGGGCTTTGGCAGCACGTAGGCCCCGAAGAGCAGCAGGAAATGGTCAAGGCGGGACGATCCGTGCTACCACCACTCCCTCACCTGCCAACAAGCCACTACAGAACTATCCCCTCACCCCCCCCACCTGCAGGTCAAATTCCACGTCGAGCGGCACACTGGGCTTAGCGAGCACGTATGCCTGGAAGAGCAGCAGAAAGCGGTCGAGGCGGCGGCGGGACGAGCCGCGGTCAAAGAAGTGGCCGCACGTGGCGAGCAGCGTGGCCGCCATGCGGATGCGGAAGCAGTCATCGGGGGGGTCCAGGGTGAGGTACTGCGAGGGGAGACAGGGGCAAGGAGCGCATGGCAGAGGCGGGGCACGAAATTAGGGGGCAGCTAGGAAGAAGGGTGAAATGCACCGTCGTTGGTCGGGGGAGGGGGGGGGGGGGGGGACAGGAGCAGAGGGAGGATGAGGGGAAGGGAGGCCTGGGGGAGAAGCGGAGGGGGGAGTGTGGGTTCAGCAGCGCACACACAGCAGCAGCAGCAGCAGCAGCAGCAGGTGCAGCATGTCTAACACAAGGTGAGAGCCCGCCACCCGGTAGCTGTACAGCTCAGCCTGAAAGAGCAGAGCCCTGTACCGCACTATACTGTGCACTAGGGACGATCATGGAACGGGCCTTGGTTGGCCCGGCTCGGCCCGAGCCCGTTTCTACGGGCTCGAGCGTCTGTTTGGGCCGGCCCGGCCAATGTCGATGGGCCCAGGCTGGCCCAAGGCCGGCCTGTGTGCGCTGTTGTTGACTTTGGCAATGGGCCAATACCGGCCGGTGGGCCGGAAGACCCGTCCATGACCTGCGCGGCCCAAGTCGAACCCTAGGATGGAAATCTTAACTTTTCCCTCCGTTTCGCCAAACCCTAGTAGGGTTCCTAGCCTACCTTTAGCACCTTTCTAGCCTAGATCTACGGATCCGCAAGTAGACATGAGCATGAGCTGAGCCTGTCTCGGCTCGCATTTCTGGGACGAACCAGGGCCGGCTCAACGGCGAGCCAGCTCGGCTCGACTCGCCTAGCATGCGCTTAAGCCTACGTTAGCACGCGCTGGAGCCTATGCAAGCGTGCGCCGTTAGAAGTGGCATGGGCTGCTTAGGATTCCTCGAGCTAATTAACCCAACCTACTCCTAGGAAGCAACAGCGCTGAAATGCGCTACATCTGGCTTGGCTCGTGAATTCGGCCTATCGCGCCAAGCCTTTTTCTTCCGTTTTAGGGCCTACAGTTTACAGGAACGTGCATAGGGCACCTATTAGGCTGCGGGAACTACCTAGGGTTACTAGGAGTTGTTGGAGGGAGAGGGAAATGGGAGACGCGTTTTGTCGAGGGGGGGAAATTCACCCCTGAAATCGAGTCGCAAGCCACCTGGCCCGAAACGACCCAGGGACGAGCCGGCTCGACCCTGGCTCGACAAGGACGTCGTGCTCGAGCCGAGTCGAGTCCAGCCAGGTCCCAAAAGAAAAGGCTCGGCTTGCCAAACATGGCGAGCCGAGCCAAGCCGAGCCGGATGTGGCTCAGCTTGTGCCCATGTCTACCCGCAAGCACCTTTAGGCCCCAATTTTTTAGATCTGCGCAGACGGAGCGGCGAACTGCCAGATCCGCATGAATCGACGGGCGAAACACCAGATCTCCGCGGATTGGGGAATCACGCGCATGCCTGAGCCTCCCCCGCCTGAGGACGGGCCTACCCCGGCCCGTCCTTTTCAGACGGGCCTTGGGCTAGGGTGGAGGCCGGCCAGGCCCGAGTCGGCCTGAGCCCGGTTCTTGATCATGCCTACCACGACACTGTATCGCACTGCACTGCACTGCACTGCAATGCACTGTATTGCAGTGCCGGCCTGTCACACACCTCGAGCGTGTCGGAGCCGAAGAAGAGCAGCAGGTGCAGCGTGTCGAAGATGAGGTGCGAGTCGACGACGCGGTAGCTGTAGAGCTCGCCCAGGAAGCGCATGGCTGTGATGCGCCGCTGCTGGTGCGTGCTGTCCGCCGTCTCCAGCCCCACACGGATGTCCTCCATTAGCTGGGGGGAGAGGGGGAGAGGGGGAGAGGGGGAGAGGGGGACAGGGGGAGAGGGGAGAGGGGGAGAGGGGGAGAGGGGGAGAGGGGGAGAGGGGGAGAGGGGGAGAGGGGGAGAGGGGGAGAGGGGGAGAGGGGGAGAGGGGGAGAGGGGAGAGGGGAGAGGGGGAGAGGGGGAGAGGGGGAGAGGGGGAGAGGGGGAGAGGGGGAGAGGGGGAGAGGGGGAGAGGGGGAGAGGGGGAGAGGGGGAGAGGGGGAGAGGGGGAGAGGGGGGGAATAGGAGGGAAGGGGGGATGGCAGGCTCAGGGAGAGAGAGGGGGGCTGGTGTTCGCTGTCAGCCGTCTCCAGACCTATGTGGATGTCCTCCATTAGCTGAGCGCCAGTGACAGATAGGGGGAGGTGAGAGAGGTTGGGGGAAGACAGGGGAGCACAGGTCAGCACATGTCAGCACATGTCAGCACATGTCGACACAGGTCAGCACAGGTCAACACAGGTAAACACACGTCAGCACACGTCAGCACAGGTCGACCCTGGTCAACGCAGGTCAACAGGTCAGCTTAGGTCAGCAAAGTTAGCACAGGTCAACAAAGATCAACTCCGAAAGCCAAGCACACAGCATATACTCCCTCCCTCCCCTCTCCCCCTCCCCCCCTTCCCCCCCTCCCTCCCTCCCTCACCTGGTCCACCACGGCCACCCCCACAGATTCTCTGAATCTGGACAGTGCGGCGACGAGCGAGGCGAGCAGGTGGATCTGGTTGAAGCGCGCGCGGTGCGTCTTGAGCAGGCACTTGACGACGTACGCCTCGCACTCGCACTCGCGCCACGGCAGCTTGCGCAGCTGCCGCAGCACCTTCTCCACCGTGCTCTTGCTCAGATCCGCGTACAGCAGCTTGCGGATGTACTGGATTCAGAGAGGGGACGGAGGGGGGGGAGGGGAAAAAAGGGGAGGAGTGAGAAGTGATTTTTTATTCGACTCAAAAATCACCTGTGAGAAGTGGGAAGGCATGAGGAGGACGGTAGCTTCGCCACTGTGCTCTTGCAAAGGTCCGCGTACTTTTGCGGATATACTGATGGGGGGGGGGGGGGGAGTGAGAAGAGGGAAGGCGCTTTTGGGAAGGCAAGAGGAAGACGGCAGCTTTCTCCAATGTGCTCTTGCTCAGGCCCGAGTACAGGTACAGCAGCTTGCACTGCGGATGTACTACAGGACAAGGATGGGGGACGGGAGGGGGAAGGAAGGAGGGGGAGGGGCGAGGGAGAGGGGGAGGGAAGGGGGAGGAGTGAGAAGTGGCAAGCACCGAGGAAAACGCCTTTCCCACAGATCAAACGTTGGGGGGACGAAAGGAGGGGGTGTAAGGGGGAAGGGGAGGAAGGAGGGGGGGGGGAGGAGGAAGGGGGAGGGCGGGGGGAGCCGAGGAATAGAAAACAGAGGGGGAGAATGAGCGGAGGATGGATGAGCAAGGGACACTCACACAGCCACCACACCACACACACACACATAGGGTTGAGCAAACTACCCGCCCGGGTCGGGTACCCGGTACCCGGACCCGCTTTTAGGGCGGGTCGGGTATCGGAAATCCTGAAAATTACCCGCCGGGTCGGGTCCGGGTTACCCGGGCCGGGTATCAATACCCGCTACCCGAAATGCTACCCGACGTGTCGGGTAACGGGTACCCGACCCGGTCGGGTAAAAAATTACCCGAGGTCGGGTATTCCACCTAGACATGGGCGTAAGTCGCGCTGTGTTTTAGGTTTTGCGGCAAAACAGTTTTGGAGGTGAGGGGGGACGAGTGGAGCCCTACCTAGCCTAGCCCTACCTAGCCTAGCCCAACTTTAGGATGTCCACTAGTAGGTGGCGGGTAAAATTACCCGCTTTTCAGGGGGTCCGGGTCGGGTATACCCGGACCCGCCAGGCGGGTATTATAATACCCGCCTAAAAAAACCGGGTCCGGGTAAGGGTCCTGGGCATATTACCCGACCTGGACCCGACCCGAAATTACCCGACCCGAGGTCGGGTATGGCAAAACCGGGTCGGGTCGGGTAATTACCCGGTTTTGCTCATGCCTACATACACAGCCTCCCCCCCCCCCCCCCCCCTTTTTACCCCTTCACCCACATGCATAAATCCCCACCCCCACTCCCAACCCCCCACACACACAGGGCCTGGACACACTTGGAGCAGCAGTCTACCCATCACACATGAAGCACGGGCGAGCCACACCCCCCCACCTGGTGCAGCGGCAATGCAACCCACCTTGTTGTACCGCACCCCACACCTCCCCACCCCACCTGGTGCAGCGGCGGGCGCGTCTTGACGACTTTGGCGATGCGGTCGGGCGGGCGGCAGAGGAAGTAGGCGTTGTCGATGAGTGTGGAGTGGTGCGCGTCGAAGCTGCGCGCATTCTTCAGGCGCTGGATGATGTCCAGCATGTTGCCCATGCGCACCTGGGAAGGGGGCGGGGGGGGAGGAGGGGGGGAAGAAGGGGGGGTTTGGGGGGAGCAGCATGCAGCATGCAGCATGCACGGGAAACACAAGGAGGCACGTGGAGATTGCTGGGCGGATCATGATTCAGCCGCTGGATGATGTCCAGTGTGTTGTCCATGCACACCGGGGGGGGTTGGGGGGGGGGGGGGGGGGTTAGAGGAGGGAGGGGGGGGGGTGGGGTGGGGGGTGAAGAAGGGCGAGAGCCCGATGGATAGGAATGGAGCGGCGCTGGGTGATGTCCAGAGTGTTGTCCACGCGCACCTGAGGGTGGGGGAGGGGAAGGGAGGGAGTTGGGGCAGGGGGGGGAAGGGGTAAACAAGGGTGAGAGACATAAGGGGGCACGGCAGGGAGATGAGGGAGAGGAACAAAGAGGCAGGATAGATGACCAACCCGCCTTGGCATAAACCCGCCTTGGCATAAACCCGCCTTGGCATAAACCCACCTTGGTATAAACCCCACCTTGGCATAAACCCGCCTTGGCATAAACCCCACCTTGGCAAAAACCCCACCTTGGTATAAACCCCACCTTGGCATAAACCCCGCCTTGGTATAAACCCTACCTTGGCAAAAAACCCACCTTCGTACAGACCCCACCTCGGCATAAAGCCCACCTTGGTGTCGGGGTGGCGTGAGAGGAACGCCCCGCAGGTCTCCAGGAGCGCACACGCCACGTCGATGCTGTGGTGGGAAAAGTCCTCCAGGCACGACTGTGGCACACGGGGGGAGAGGGGCGAGGGGGAGGGGGGAGGGAAGAGGGGAGAGGGAGAGGAGGGAGAGGAGAGGGGAGAGGGGAGAGGGGAGAGGGATAGCAACGGGCAAAACTCTTGACGCATACGCGATGGTTATGACAAGTCTCAAACGCATGCTGCTGTGGGAGTAAGGGCACGTTCCTCGCCTGTGGCACACTTTGTGGCAAGCTGGTCATGCCACGAAGAGGAATATACCGCCTTTGTGGCAACCAAAACCAAGCGGGGGGGGACAAAACCGGCACGAGCAGCCGTTTGACCAACCAGCGAGCAGTTTGATCGGCCCACTTTGAGACCAATCACGAGCGTGCTGGCGAATTGAAGCTCCGATCGTGGAACCTTGTTGCACGACCATCGCGACCCCTGCGACTGCAAGGGTGACCTGTTTGCGACCCCAGCGATTCTGTACACGTTGTGATTCTGCCTTGAGGCGAAAGTTGCAAGTCGCTGGGACTGTACATCGTGCGATATCTGATGTGTGGCAATAAAGAGTGCGACTCCCACATTGTTGTCTGGCGATTTCGCACTGGGGGTCGTTCAATGTTTGATCGCTGCCCCACCGTCAGCAATCGCGTACACAAAGTTCAGAAGCGCCAACTTGCCACAAAGTGTGCCACAGGCGAGGAACGTGCCCTAAGTCCTCCAGAGTCCACACAGAACTGCAGCTCGCCGGGGTTATTGCACAGAGTGAGGGAGTAGTAATTGTGAGCTGAAGCAGCACTAAGAGGCAGGAAACCAGAGGTCCTTAACACAAGAGCCGCGCATCGGTACGATAAAAGGTGCATCACGGGCTGACAATGACCAGGGGGGCATGGGAGTGGGCAGGGGGGCATTGGCATGACTGAGCCTCACCTCGAAGCAGCTGATTATGAGGCTGGGCGCACCACCTTGAACTTAGAAGTAACTACACGGGCACCTCCACCCACCCTGACTGAGCAGCCTCAGGGGCGCACCTTGAGAGGCAGCCGAGGGGCACACCTTGAGGCAGCGGAGGGGCACACCTTGAGGCAGCCGAGGGGCACACCTTGAGGCAGCCGAGGGGCACACCTTGAGGCAGCCGAGGGGCACACCTTGAGGCAGCCGAGGGGCACACCTTGAGGCAGCCGAGGGCACACCTTGAGGCAGCCGAGGGGCACACCTTGAGGCAGCCGAGGGGCACACCTTGAGGCAGCCGAGGGGCACACCTTGAGGCAGCCGAGGGGCACACCTTGAGGCAGCCGAGGGGCACACCTTGAGGCAGCCGAGGGGCACACCTTGAGGCAGCCGAGGGGCACACCTTGAGGCAGCCGAGGGGCACACCTTGAGGCAGCCGAGGGGCACACCTTGAGGCAGCCGAGGGGCACACCTTGAGGCAGCCGAGGGGCACACCTTGAGGCAGCCGAGGGGCACACCTTGAGGCAGCCGAGGGGCACACCTTGAGGCAGCCGAGGGGCACACCTTGAGGCAGCCGAGGGGCACACCTTGAGGCAGCCGAGGGGCACACCTTGAGGCAGCCGAGGGGCACACCTTGAGGCAGCCGAGGGGCACACCTTGAGGCAGCCGAGGGGCACACCTTGAGGCAGCCGAGGGCACACCTTGAGGCAGCCGAGGGGCACACCTTGAGGCAGCCGAGGGGGCACACCTTGAGGCAGCCGAGGGGCACACCTTGAGGCAGCCGAGGGGCACACCTTGAGGCAGCCCGAGGCAGCCGAGGGGCACACCTTGAGGCAGCCGAGGGGCACACCTTGAGGCAGCCGAGGGGCACACCTTGAGGCAGCCGAGGGGCACACCTTGAGGCAGCCGAGGGGCACACCTTGAGGCAGCCGAGGGGCACACCTTGAGGCAGCCGAGGGGCACACCTTGAGGCAGCCGAGGGCACACCTTGAGGCAGCCGAGGGGCACACCTTGAGGCAGCCGAGGGGCACACCTTGAGGCAGCCGAGGGGCACACCTTGAGGCAGCCGAGGGGCACACCTTGAGGCAGCCGAGGGGCACACCTTGAGGCAGCCGAGGGGCACACCTTGAGGCAGCCGAGGGGCACACCTTGAGGCAGCCGAGGGGCACACCTTGAGGCAGCCGAGGGGCACACCTTGAGGCAGCCGAGGGGCACACCTTGAGGCAGCCGAGGGGGCACACCTTGAGGCAGCCGAGGGGCACACCTTGAGGCAGCCGAGGGGCACACCTTGAGGCAGCCGAGGGGCACACCTTGAGGCAGCCCGAGGGGCACACCTTGAGGCAGCCGAGGGGCACACCTTGAGGCAGCCGAGGGGCACACCTTGAGGCAGCCGAGGGGCACACCTTGAGGCAGCCGAGGGGCACACCTTGAGGCAGCCGAGGGGCACACCTTGAGGCAGCCGAGGGGCACACCTTGAGGCAGCCGAGGGGCACACCTTGAGGCAGCCGAGGGGCACACCTTGAGGCAGCCGAGGGGCACACCTTGAGGCAGCCGAGGGGCACACCTTGAGGCAGCCGAGGGGCCACACCTTGAGGCAGCCGAGGGGCACACCTTGAGGCAGCCGAGGGGCACACCTTGAGGCAGCCGAGGGGCACACCTTGAGGCAGCCGAGGGCACACCTTGAGGCAGCCGAGGGGCACACCTTGAGGCAGCCGAGGGGCACACACCTTGAGGCAGCCGAGGGGCACACCTTGAGGCAGCCGAGGGGCACACCTTGAGGCAAGCCGAGGGGCACACCTTGAGGCAGCGGGGGCACCTGAGGCAGCGAGGGCACACTTGAGGCAGCGAGGGGCACACCTTGAGGCGAGGGCACACCTTGGAGGAGGGCACACCTTGAGGCAGCCGAGGGGCACACCTTGAGGCAGCCGAGGGGCACACCTTGAGGCAGCCGAGGGCACACCTTGAGGCAGCCGAGGGGCACACCTTGAGGCAGCCGAGGGGCACACCTTGAGGCAGCCGAGGGGCACACCTTGAGGCAGCCGAGGGGCACACCTTGAGGCAGCCGAGGGGCACACCTTGAGGCAGCCGAGGGGCACACCTTGAGGCAGCCGAGGGGCACACCTTGAGGCAGCCGAGGGGCACACCTTGAGGCAGCCGAGGGGCACACCTTGAGGCAGCCGAGGGGCACACCTTGAGGCAGCCGAGGGGCACACCTTGAGGCAGCCGAGGGGCACACCTTGAGGCAGCCGAGGGGCACACCTTGAGGCAGCCGAGGGGCACCTTGAGCAGCGAGGGGCACACCTTGAGGCAGCCGAGGGGCACACCTTGAGGCAGCCGAGGGGCACACCTTGAGGCAGCCGAGGGGCACACCTTGAGGCAGCCGAGGGGCACACCTTGAGGCAGCCGAAGGGGCACACCTTGAGGCAGCCGAGGGGCACACCTTGAGGCAGCCGAGGGGCACACCTTGAGGCAGCCGAGGGGCACACCTTGAGGCAGCCGAGGGGCACACCTTGAGGCAGCCGAGGGGCACACCTTGAGGCAGCCGAGGGCACACCTTGAGGCAGCCGAGGGGCACACCTTGAGGCAGCCGAGGGGCACACCTTGAGGCAGCCGAGGGGCACACCTTGAGGCAGCCGAGGGGCACACCTTGAGGCAGCCGAGGGGCACACCTTGAGGCAGCCGAGGGGCACACCTTGAGGCAGCCGAGGGGCACACCTTGAGGCAGCCGAGGGGCACACCTTGAGGCAGCCGAGGGGCACACCTTGAGGCAGCCGAGGGGCACACCTTGAGGCAGCCGAGGGGCACACCTTGAGGCAGCCGAAGGGCACACCTTGAGGCAGCCGAAGGGCATACCTTGAGGCAGCTGAAGGGCACACCTTGAGGCAGCTGAAGGGCACACCTTGAGGCAGCTGAAGGGCACACCTTGAGGCAGCTGAAGATGAGGCTGGCGGGCGCCACCTTGAACTTGGCGAGCTCGCCCAGGAAGCGGATGTTGCGCATCTTCGACTCAATGTTGATTTGGTCCTGGGGGTGTGGGGAGGAGAGGGGGGAGGGGGGGAGGAGGGGGGTAAGGGGGGAACAGAACAGTCTCCGCACACACACTAGTTGCACTGGCCGTCCACAGAACCTCCATCAGCTCGCCTTGGAGGCTGAAAGCAGATGGTGATGAGTCGGTTTATTAGGCGCCTTAAAAAACAACAGAGGAAGGGGGGGAAGGAGAAGGGGCCTTCGTATTTGGTGCATCTTGGAATCAACGTAGATTTGGACCTGGTGGGAAGGTTTGGGAGAAGCGGGAGGGGAGGGGAGGGGTTTGAACTGTTCTGAACCTTCGACTCCGGGAATGTACGGGGAGGAGTGGGGGGGAGGCGAGGGGAGAAGAGGAGAGGAAGGAGAGCAGGAGGGAAGGGCGTTGAAGAGGACTGCTCGTGCTTGCTCTGCGTTGGTTCGCACAGTGCGTGTGAGCAAGAGGGAAAGGAAGGGGTGGGCTGAAAACAGGGTCAGTCAGGAGTCCTGACATAGCTCAGGACTCAGCACTGACACTAGAAGAAGCACTGGATCTCTCGCAGCTATAAAACGTAGGGATCTCCTCCCCTTGTTGTTCTTGAGCGCAGTGCACTCCTCTTCGAGCTGGAGCCCCAGGGCACTGTAGCACATAACCTTCCCAGCAGTGGGCTCCTCCAGCAAAAGCCAACGCCGCACACATCAGCTTTCCATTCAGGCACAGCATCACATTCTCCCCTCCTGACCTTCTGGTTCTGTAGTGCGGTAGATTCCTTTTTGTCGGCAATTGCATGAGCGCGCGCCCCACATCGACCTTCCATGCATTGCAGCACAAGTCTGTGCACTTGCAATCCACCCTCACCTTCTTGTTCTTAAGCGCTGTGAACTCCTCTTCCAGCAGGTGCACGAGCGCGGGCCCCACGTCGCGCATGTACTGCCCCAGGGTGGCCGCCATGCGCGCATGGTACGGCAGCAGCTGCAGCGCCGTGCGCGGCACGGCAAAGAGAGCGCGCACCAGCCGCCGCCGGCTCGCCTTGCTGTTCACGTAGCAGAAGTCCACCTGGGGGAGGAGGGGGTGTTCGGGGTTCGGGGAGAGATGGGGGGGAGGGGGGGGGAGGGAGAGGGGGAGGGGGGAGGGAAAGGAAACCGATTTTTGGAGGTGCCTCAACAACCATTGCGGCTGCTAGCCGCCGCAGGCTGGCCTTGCTGTTCACATAGCAGACGCCCATCTAGTGGGAAAGGGGAGATTGCGTGCGTGGGGGGTGGGGCGGCGGGTGGATATCAGTTGAGGCGGTGAGGGGCGGGGGAAGAAGGGAGGGACGGAGGAGAGGGGGGAAGGGGGAGGGAGAAAGGGGGGGGGAAGGTGGGGTGAGTGCGGGGATCGGAGCAACAGAGGGAAGGAAGGCAAGTAGGGCGACAGCAGGATTCGACATGGAGGAGGGGGGGAGAGGATGGATGGAGGGAGGGAGAGGAGGGGGGGAGGGAGGGAGAGGAGGGGGGGAGGGAGGGAGAGGAGGGGGGGAGGGAGGGAGAGGAGGGGGGAGGGAGGCAGAGGACGGGGGGAGTGGAGGGGAGGGAGGGAGCGAGGGAGGGGAGGGGGTGAGGGAGGGAGGCTCACGGAGAGCTGGTCGATGAGGTCTCTGCTGACACAGGACGGCAGGCGCTGCAACAAGTCATCTAGCTTCGCTGCCTCCACCCCCTTCACCTTTTCCTTCTCCTTCTCTTTCTCCTTATCCTTCTCTTTCCCCTTCTCCTTCTCCTTCTCTTTTTCTTTTTCCTTATCTTTCTCTTTCTCCTTCTCCTTCTCTTTCTCCTCTTTCTCCCTCTCCTTCTCTTTCTCCTTCCCCTTCTCCTTCTCTTTCTCCTCCTTCCCCTCACCCTCCTCACTCTCTTTCTCCTCCCCATCACCAGCCCCCTTCCCGCCCTTCCCTCCCCCATCCCCCAGCAGCACGGCGGGCACAAACAGCTTCAGATCTGGCAGATTCTCGTAGAAGGCGCGCGTCTCATCATCATCCCACAAGGGCAATGCCTCCGCCTCTCTCTTTGCCCCATCCGCCCCTGCCCCTCCCCCGCCTGCCCCCCCTGCTGAGCTGTCCCCGCCCCCTGCCACGTGGGTGGTGTGCTCGTCCTCTGGCAGCGCGACAGGTGCACGGTCCAGAGCTTCAGCTAGCCTGGAATGAGGGGGCAGGGGAGGCGAGGTCAGGAGAGGAGGGGGGTGGTGGGAAGGGATTGTGGAACAGGAGAGTGGGGTGAACAGGGAACGAACTGGATAGTGAACCCAGAAAGAACCCCTAACAAGCAACCCAAACTGAACCCAAACTGAACCAGCAGTGCACAGCCCGCAGTTCTCAACCCGCAGTGGTGACTCACGCGTTGGCGTTCCTGACAAGCTGCTCCAGCCCCTTGCGGCTCCTCTCGTACGCCGCACTCACATCCTCCGGGATCTCCCCTCTCTGCGCCGTCATGCGCGCTATCTCGCGGTCCATGCTGCGCACCGCCCCGTGCTCGCTCAGCACGAGGGCCGAGAGGGCGTCGAAGAAGAAGGAGACAAGCTTTGACAGCTGCTTGCGCTGCTCGGCGGTTATTGGCAGGTCGGTGTAGACCTGGACGGGGATGGGCGGGGAAGGGGAGGGGAATGGGAGGGGAAGGGACAGAGTGCAAGGAGGAGGAACACGTGGTGCTTGGTAAGGTGCCTGCGCTGCTCCGGGTGTATGGGTAGGCGAGTGAGTGTCCGCCAGGATGGGTGGAAGAAGGAGGAGGAACATGTGATGCTTGGTTAGGTGCCTGTGCTGCTCGGGGTCATGGGTTTAGGTCTGTATACGCCTAGGGGTGGGGAGTGAGAGAGGGGGGAGAGAAAAGAGGGAGCGGAGCGGGAAGGGGGTAGGGTGTTTGGGAGGGGAAGGGAGGGAGGGAGGTATGGCGTTTGGGAGGGGAAGGGAGGGAGGTATGGTGTTTGGGAGGGGAAGGTATTGGGATGAGGAAGCGTGGAACAAAGGCTGAAAGACGAGGAGATTATCGTAGATTGGACAATCATAAAAGATGGTAGCTAGCTAGAAACGGAAGGTGCACACCACACAATTCACACTCGACACACCCGCCCTTCCAAGCCCGCAAGCAATGCATCTGAGGAATCTATTCTTGAGGCGCCTCAAAAATAGACCCCAAGCACTTTTCACTCGACAGAGCTCTACTTCCAAGCCCCCAAGCAATGCACACCCCACGCGCTTGAGCATGGGCGCAAGGGGTCCATCGATCCAAGTGCTTGCACAACCTTGTCGTACCTCCTCGTCCGCAGAGCCGCACTTGAACCGCAGCAGCGTCCCCCCACCCACTCACTCACCCACCCGCCCTCACTTGGATCCGGACCCCAAAACCACACGGAATGAATGGAAGACCCACTCTTGCATTGACGCACTTCACTTCACAACGCCTCTCATTCTAAGAACGCACCTCCTCGTCTGCGGGGTCGCACTTGAGCCCCAGCAGCGGCCCGCCCACCCTCACAAAGCTGAGCATGAGCGTCACTGCCATCGTCACCGCCTCCCTCTCCCGCTCCAGCCGCTCCCTCTCCCTCTCACTCCTCCCCACCCCCACACCCACGCCTCCTTCCCTCCTCCTACCCCCCCTCCTCCTCCTCCTCCTCCTCCTGCTGCTGCTGCTGCCGCTGCCGCAGCTACGAGCCCCGCCCCATCAGCACTGGCCACCTCTTTCACGACGCCTATAATCACACTCGCGTCCTCGTACACCCCGCATAGGAACAGCTCCACTAGCAGCCGAAACACACTCCGCTTTCGCGAAATGCGCGCTGAAAGACTAGCCCCTGCACCCGCACCACCCCCTGCTACCACCCCCCCGCCTCCCCCTCCTCCTCCTCCCCCACCCGCTCCTATCAAGCCTGACCCACTACTCCCCCCTACTCCCACTCCTCCTGTACCCGTTATAGACCCATCCAGGTCGTCAAAAAACAAGCTACTAGCGTATGTGCCGCTGCCAGCACTGCTGGAGCTGGTGCTGCTGGTGCCAGGTTTGGAGGAGGAAGGCGAGGGAATGAGGGCGCGGAGAAGGGTGGGGACCAGGGCTGGGGCGAAGTCAGCGTACCGTTGGTGCAGGAGAGAGCAGACCTGAGCAGAAGGGGGGTCGGGGGGGGGGAAGTGGGGGAGGAAGAGGGGGAGAAGGGGGAGGTGAGGTGGGAGGGAGGGGGGGAGGGGGGGTGCAGGGGGGGCAGGGGCGAGCAGCGGGAGCAGAGGGGAATGCAGGCAAAAGCGGGACGAGGGAATGGATTATGCGGTACAACAATGCGTCAGCTTGGTGAGGAACAGGTCACTCATCTTGCAGCCATCCATCCACGAGTGGCTCCGCTGCAAAGCAAAATAAGTGCCCCTGGTGGGTGCGGGCCGCCGAGCAGCCGAGCAGTCGAGAAGTGCAGTGTGTTGCTCATTCTGAGTGAAAGAGAGAGGAGAGGGGAGGCGCTGCTGACCTGCACGGCCGCTGGGATGTCGGCCATCTTGAGCTTGGCCTCTGCAATGGCTGCCACTGCCTCCGACACGTACTTGCTCATGTTCACTGCCCGCACCTGGTGGCCGCGGGGGCGAGGAAGCGGGGGGGGGGCGTGGGGGGGGAGGGAGGGAGACGGGGAGATCATTGAGTCGACTCATAAGCCACCTTGGCCTCTGCGGTGGCTGCCATTGCCTCCGACGCGTACTTTCTCATGCTCACTGCGCGCACCTGGTGGTAGGGGGACGGATGGGAGGGGAATGGGAAGGGAATGGGAGGGGAAGGGGAAGCGAGGGGAGGGATGGAAAGAGGGGGTTAGAGGGGGAGGAGGCAGGCGTTAGACGCGGAGGGGCGACGGGGGTAGAGGGGGAGTGGGGAGGGGGGAGGGGGGAGGGGGGAGGGTGTGAAGGGAACGATGGGAGAATGGGTAGTGAGACGCATTGGGCATTGCTCAAGAACCTGACTGAGGGCTCCCACAACCTTTCAAACAACACTCCCTCCCTCACCCACTGTGCTCCAACCCACCCACCCACCCGCCATCATCCCCTCTTAAATATTCCTCCGTCCCTTCATTCTCCCCCGTGTCTCAAGCACTCCTGCTCATTGTTGAAGCTGCTCGACTCTCCCACTCTTCCTCTCTCATTCTCTCCCCTCACCCTCTCTCCACCGCTTCGCTGAACCATCAGCCACACCACAGAGAGCCAGGCATCCCATGCCATCCATTCTATGCCAGGCACCCCACTCACCCCACCCCACTCACCCCACCTACCCACCCATCCACCCACCTCATCCAGAATGGCTTCCCTCTGATCCTCGCTGAGCTGTCTCAGCCGTCGGATCATCGCCGTGTTGCGCTTGATGCTCGAATCCAGGCCCTTGCCCTCGCCGCTCGCGCCCAACCGCTTCGGCCGCAGGTTCGCCGCCCGAAGCGCCTTCTTAGCCTCGGCAGCCTTCCGAGCCTCGTCTGCTCTGGCCAGAGCATCGTCCTGGGATTGGGAAGGAGGGGGGGGAGAAGCAGAGGCAGAGATAGGGGCAGAGGCAGGGGGAAAGGCAGGGGGAGTCTGAGGTAGGGGGAGAGGCAGAGGGGAGGCAGAGGCGAGTGGGATTTGATAAGGCCTAAAGGCTGGAGAGACTGCACGGAGAGAAGAGGAGAAGGTGAGGAGAGAAGCACAGCTTGTGCGCCAAGTCCAGAGGTCTTTGGGATATGTCTGTGTCTACAGCCCATACGTTGCTTGGATACCCAGAGGTTGTCCGCGTTTGAATAATGCTCCTGGCTGGAGTGAAGCACGTCCAAGCATGCTGCAAGCTGCTGGGTGCTGCCTCTCTGCTGCTGCCTTTATCTGCTGCTGCGTGTGTCTGTTCGGCAGGAGAACTCGCGTGCCCTTGCGACGCGTGCGACGCGTGCGAAGCTTCTACCGAGACGGATGCGTGCGTCTCTGGTTGAAGTCGGCTTTAAAAAGGCGGACGCGGAGAAGTGGCGGTTCTCCCAGCGCGCGCCGCTCCCGTGAGGCACACGCCACAGCGATCCTAGCACCCTCCTCACCACACGCTGAGCGCGTTTCGCTGCGCGCTTGTTCCACCGCCTTCCCCCGTGTTCCTAGGCGCCTCTAAGCACGGAGACCTAGACTCTGCCTCACCTCGCGCCCGTCTTCATCCGCTGTGCTTGCGGCACCCCCCTCTCTCGGCGACGCGTCCACCGCCATGGCCGCTACTGACGGAAATGGCTCGCCAAAGCAACTTAAAGTCGTCCCGGGCCGAGGCGTTGGGAACAGGCGGATTAGGCGGAATCTAACAGCAGGCTGCTTCGGAGTTTGTGAGGGATCAGGGGTACTGAAATGGGTTCGTCATAGCGAACCCCAGCGCCAATGAAACAAAAGATGCTGGTTCGAATCTCCGATAAGCAGTGCCTCTTTTGGAAATGAGCATCCACTGGTAACAGTGCGCCACGCAAGAAACTACGTTCAGTATATAAGCCTATTTGTAAGGAAATGAAATTTCCTCATCACGGGTTTTACCGTGAAAAAGGGACCCTGGGTCTTTTTTCCGGACCATGGGTCTTAATATCGTAAAGGGATTGTGAGGGCCCATTGTTTGGGGTAAATCATTTGAAGACCACCGATTTCCAAGGCTGATTTTATCATACTCTTTACTCTGATTAGTCTGAAATCTCAGACCGGTTTTTTTACCAAACCTGAATTTCCAGATAAGGCATTTTCTCAATCCTGATTGATTCAGACTAAGACTTCGCGGATCCTGAAAAAGTCAGGGTTCACGCTGTTGTGATATGATTCATACTTAGCATTTCTGTAAGTCGATTATCGATAGATAGTGTCGAATCCTATTGTAGAAGATAAGTCCATAGGATGACGTCAGCAAATAGCGCTCGTCATGAGGACAGTCGTTTCAGTCACGCGAACAATCGCGTCTCTTCAGTGTTATTTAGGGCGCATAGCGCGATAGTGTCAACAGGTACATTAGCGAGCAGGTACTTCTGTTAGATATAAAAGTAGCCTGTCTTTATTGCTTAGTTAACTTGGTTAACGTGGTTCTCGACTTGATTCTGAACTTGTTCTTCAGTAAATTCTGGTCATTATTCGACAAGTTCTAAGACTTGTCATACTTTTACAAGACTTTTGCTGTCTTACTTTTACAAGACTTTTGCTGTCTTACTAGTCTACCATTCCAGTAAAGATCCTAGGCTAACACTTGAGGTTTTCCAAGTGTTCATGTTTGCAGATTCTATACTTAGTCTCCTGCAACAACCTGTCAAATTATTACACACGCTAACCCAGTACTGAGTTTTCAGAGTACATCGGGTATGAACCCGGAAACAGATTTCCATGGGGCGCACAAGATCCCCAGAAATTTCGCCTACCATCAGTGCTTCCCGCCCGCGTCACGTACAGAATCCACACTTCGCATAAAATTCCACCAAGTCCAATGTACTGCATACTCTGCCCACAGTGGGCACTTTGCTATCCAGCGCGGCAGAAATGTTGCCATGCTGAGCCAATAAGGACCGCAGATTCTGCCATGTTGCTCTCTATGCATGCGCGAACCTCGGGCCCCCGCCCTCTATGCCAGCCTTGCAGACCTTTCAAGAAAGGTGCGACACGGGTTTGATGGACCCCTCCTTCTCCAATCGTTCCTTACCCATTAGCTTTGAACGCACTACTTCAAGTTTTACAGGGGGAATCGTTTCATTTGTTCATTTGTCTGAGACACAGGTGTAGTTGTAGTCGCTTTCTTTAGTTTCTACTTGTCGTTTCTCCTCTCGCCATGCCTGAAAAGGATGGCGCCGATGATGCTCCTGCTGATGGTGATGAGTCGCGCAGCAGTAAGGATCCTGCCGTAGCTCCAAGGAGCGCCCTATACATCTTGCGGCCCGTTGCCGCATCGGCTCCTCCGCCTTTTGTCGCCACAACCGCTGTTGACGAGACACCGTGCGACGAGCCATCGTTGCCAAGTAGACCTGCCCCCGCTCCCTTCATTCTCCCACTAGCCATAGCATCTTCCAGCAGAGGGCCAGTGGATCCTATTCAGAGCGCCACCGCCTCTACCGTTCGTTATAGTGTGCCATGCACGACGAAGTATACGCAGCAGCGTATCAACCTTGGTGGCCAGATTCGCCCCCCCTCGCCACCGCGCTCACCTCCCCCTGTCACCCGCCCTGATGAACCGCCGCCACCGAAGCTAAGTACAAAGGAGTTGATTGAGCAGAAGTACCTAGTCGCTGATGCTAAGTACAAGAATGATTGGCTGCGTTATTTTCCCTGGCTTGTACTTACCCGTACTAACGAAGGCTACCCCGCCCTTAAGTGCAGTGTTTGCCAAGCCTTTGGCAAAGGAACGACGAAGTATTCAAGGCCAGGCGATGGCGGGAGAGATCTCCAGACACAGACGATGCGCATCTATGAACACTCGACAGTCCACGAAGAGGCGGTTCGCCGGCAGCTCGAGATTCAGAAGGAAATTGAAGACAAGCAGCAGAAGATGACAAGCTTCGCCACCGTCGACGTCGAAGGCCGCCGCGTCATCCGTCTTTTGCAGTGCGTGGAGTTTCTTTGCAAGAACGATGCTCCTATCGCCATGTTTCCCAGGCTGTTTCGTTTCATGGCAGAGCAAGACACACCAGACATACCTCTCCAGTCGTACGGTGTATATCTCACCAGTTAAGGCTACCTTGTTTTCGCCGGTCGATGGTTGGATTTTGGTATCAGCCATGAAATTTTTTGATGCATTTGCAATGCTAATTAACGACTGTTTCACTTCTGATTATGCCACTGCAGGTACGGGTTCCAGCAGATGGTGAACTGTCTGTCAACTTATCTGCTGGCAACTCAGATGGAGCACATCAAGAGCTCACCTTACCTCGGCATCTCATGCGACGAGAGCACCGACCGCACGCGGGGAAAGCACCTGATCGTCTACATCACATTCATGCGGCTGCGTCGAGTCGTCACCGAATTCCTAGCCCTGCTAGAAGTTGACAAGTGCGACGCCGCTTCATTTTTTCCTCTTCTACCTGGCCGACATGCTGGCACTCATGAACGACCTCAACCTCAAGTTCCAGAAGCGAGAGGTGAGATACTGTCTGCAAGCGTGGTGTTCTACTTTGGTGCAACTACTCATGTCTTTCCCTCTCCTCTATGTCCTCCCCCCCACACCGCAGGTCGATGTCACAGAGGTGGTAACGGACATCCACGAGACTTTGGGGGATCTGCGGCACCGCTATGTCCAGTGCGGGGAGGTTTTCAGTGTCGGCGCCGAAAACACCTGGCTCTCGGCGTTCCTCGCGGTGTATGGGCACGGCGGGTCAAAGCGGGTGAAGGTGAACGGTATCGACTTGGAGGGGAACCCCGTCACCCACACGTACAAGATGCACGAGCGGCACCTCGACAAGCACCAGTACGGGAGCAGCTACAAGGACTGCGTGCTGCTGTGCCAGAAGCACGCCAAGGATACCATGATCAACGTACGAGAGCGGATGCGGGATCTGCGCAAGATGTCGCCGACGAAGCTGTGGGTGGCGGCGAAGTGGCCAAGACAACGGGCGCAGCGCAAGAAAAAGACGAAAGAGTATCTACTCGGATGCAGCGGCATCTTCGAGCACAAGCTGCCCGGCTTCGACGTGAAGGCAGCGGAGACGGAGCTCACAACGTGGGCGCCGATCATGCAGAATCATCACGAGGTGGAGAGCTTCCACCAAGGCCTGGCAAACTACCTCACGAAGACGGACTCGAGCAGGCAAGTCCAACGGTATTGTTGTTTCTGAATCACCACCTCCCATTCTACTTGCCAAGTGTGCACAACATTGCCGCCCTTGCCGACTGCCTTTAAACCCACTTTGTTATCCGCCTTCACTCTATGCATTTCCTACTGCCTTTCTTCCACCTTTGTTTTTGTGTCTCGTGTCAGGTGCTGGCCCAATCTGATGCGCCTGTGGCAGGCTTGCGCCGTGCTGCCTCTGTCAACAGTCGAATGCGAGAGGGGCTTCTCTCGACAGAACGTGATTAAGTCCTCGGTCCGTGGCTCACTCTGTAACGCGTGCCTCTCTGAGTTGATGGCCATCCTGCTGCTGCAATACGTCATCAATTGGACCGAAGCCCTGGCGACCTGGCGAGAGAAGCTGAGACGCCCAGCACAATCTGTTGTCTTCGCATCTGCGGAACGTAAGCGCAAGGGAAAGGCCCTGGAGGGTGAGGTGGTGGGAGACACAACGGGTGATGGACAGGGGGAGGTGCCATAGTACATGGGGGAGGGGCGGGCTGAGGAGGATGGGGGTGATGATGAGGATGATGCGGCTCCAAGAATAGACGACGACCCTTTCCTGTCAGACAATGAGGGGGGTGATTATGAGATTACAGTAAATGCGCCGGAGTTCTAGGAGCTTGTTAGTTTGTGATTGCTTGGTGGGAGACTGGTAGTAGTAGTACGGTAGTTGTTGTAGGCTCCTGTCTAGTGTAGGAAAATGTAAGATACAAGAAGCCTTCTTAGTAACATGTAAGTTGTAACCCTGAATGTACTTGCGCGATCCTGAGGATTTCAGACTTGCCCATCTCCTGACTCTGACATTTCAAAGTCCCTAAATTCTAGCTGAAGACCTTTCAGACTATTTTTTTTTGGGGGGGGGTTAGCTTAGAGTGCCTTTTTTTGAAACGTCAGCCCTGCCAATTTCCCTCAAGAGTGTATTTGTACTCGTTTTTAGTTCCGGATTTTGGTCACGCGTTCGAAGCGCCCCCGTTTGCCTGTGCACCTAGCTGTCAGAAATGCATTTGCGTCGCGTCAGCACAAGGGGTTCCGGTAGTAGGCCTACATAAAATTGACCACAGATGGAATTTGACTCGTGTGTCTATGACAGGCGGAGGACGAGAATCCGCTGGCGCTGAAGTGTACATATAAAAAACAATCTCGTAAGTAGAAAATAAATGTATATGGGTCTTAATAATTACCTCCCTTTAATATGTCCACCCAAACGGTTTTCAGTGAATTTTCCAAAAGACCTAGGGTGATCATGCCGGGAGATTACGGTAGTTGGAAGGCGTACACTGCCATAATGGGGTTGCCACGCAGCTCTGCCACGAAATTCAAATCGCGGTACCCAAATGTGGCCTCCTGACGAGCCACCTTGTTGTTTCATGCCTAGATCTAGGCGCTTCATGCCAGAGCTCTGTCGAGCCTCGACCATGTGCTCTAGGCCAACCTATATCCGTATTCCCTGTTGTTTTAATTTCGCTCATTGTATTGTTTTCATCGCTACACACGCTCTTTGCGCTTCATTACACTTGGCCATCAGAGCCAACGATCCTCAACCTTGCGCTCTAGTTCTGCTGCAATACCGACACTTAGGGAGGCTGACGCCCAGTACTTACTACATATCCCCTGTCTTGGTAATATTAATCGATAATTACCAACAGCCACGACTGTGTTCGAAGGGGTTACCACCAGATTCGTGTAGCTGCAGCTGATTTTACAAGACCGCGCTTCGTACTAGGTACGGGAGTTTCGAGTATATAGTTATGCCCTTTGGACTCACGAACGCCCCGGCGACTTTTCAAATAACCATGAACCTGATTTTCAGTTCGCTCGTAGATAAGTGTGTTATACTTTACCTAGATGACATACTGATTTACAGTGAGACTCGGGAACAGCACCTCAAGGATCTTGAAGCAGTTTTCACGCTACTACTAGAACATCGGCTGCTCACGAAGGGGTCTAAGTGCGAGTTCCTAAAAGATAAGTTATAATTTTTAGGCCACGACATCTCTAAAAAGGGTGTCGAAGTAGACCCGCGGAAGATTGAGACCGTGCAAGCCTGGCTACCGCCTATGAATCTGTAGGAGCTGCAAGGTTTTGTTGGGGTTCGTAAATTATGTTTGGAGGTGTATCCCGAATATGGCGGGGTAACTGCAATGCTGATCGACCTGCTGCGGATAGGGACTGAGTATAGGTGGGGGGAAAAAGAGCAAGTTGCCTTCTCCACGCTCAAAACTTTTCCGTGCTCAGCCCCTGTCCTTCAGATCGCCGATCCTCACCATCTCTTCGAATTCAACACTGATGCTAGCAACATCGTCATTGGAGCAATATTGTTATACGACTTTGGCGAAGGTCTGCAGCCAATCGCGTACGAGTCACGAAAGTTACACCCGCTCGAGCAAAACTATATGATACACGACAAGGAGATGCTCGCGATCGTGCACGCTTTCAATGTGTGGCGATGCTACCTGACAAGCGCGGACGTGACAGTACGGACAGACCAACGCAACCTACAGTACATTTGTCCACAGCCACTGCTCAACCCGCGATAGATTCGGTGGTTGGATTTTATGGAAACCAATTTCCACTATACTTTCACATAAAAAAGGGGCATTGAACATTGGAGACCCCCTTTCTTGCCCATCCGCCCATCTTAACTCAATCATCTTTGCCCAAACTTCCCGCTCCTGACAGACCTATTTACCTATGGGTACGAGATGGACATATTCTTTACATCGGTGCGTACGCGCAACTCACAACAGCTAAGGGAGTCTATTATGTAAAAAAAGGGGCTGACCGCATCCGGGTACCAGAATACATCCTATTATGGGAGCTATTACTACAGGAAGCCCACGCCAGTACAGTTTTAGGGCATCTTGGGGTGGAGAAAACAGGGCAATAGTTGAACAGATATTAATTCTGGCCCGATATGCAAGGGGACGTGCAGCAGCATGTGGTTTCGTGCAGGACATGCCAAACCATGAAGTCATGAAAGTAGAAGCCAACTGGACCGTTGCAGCCGATTCCACTGCCTGAGCGTGTGTGGCAGCAGGTGACGATGGAATTCGTTACGGGACAGCCTGCCAAGGACGGTTGTAATGTCGCAATATTTGTCGCCGTCGATAAGTTGACGAATATGGCTCACTTTGCCGCCTACAAGAAAAGCATTTCAACCGAAGAAACAACCTGCCTCTTCATCTCGACCATCGTTTGCCTCCACGGAATCCCATCCGCCATCGATTCCTATCGTGATACAAAATCCACTAGCAATTTTTGGCGTAACCTGTGGGACCAGTTTGGCACGCGCCTACAGTTCTCCTCTGCTTATCACCGCGAGATGGATGGATAGACCGAACGAGCCAATCCGACGATGGAGCAGTTGATTCGCGCCACCTGCGATGCCGTGGCCGACAGGGAGCAGCAACTGCCACTAATTGAGTTGGCGCATAACAACGCCCCGTCAGCCATTACTCGACAGTCGTCGTTCTATCATGCCAAACGTCGGCAATCCTGTACCCCGAGCCCAACAGTTCGCCGAATTCTTACAGAATGCCTGGGAGCGAGCAGCAAAAGCCATTAAGCGCGCGAACGTTATTTCTAAGCGTAACGCAGATCTACACCGAAGAGTAGTGACTTACCAAGCAGTACTGCTCGACACGCAGAACCTTCGACTGCCCATCGTCCCAGAACTCCACCCTCGCTACTGCGGGCCATTTACGATCAGCCACATGATATCTTCCGTTACAACCCATCTACTGTTATCTGCCACCTGGAACGCCAGCCCCTCATATCGCGTGCGACTGTTGCGACCATACACTACATCGCCAGCCAACCCTAATATCCGATCACTCGCCGAGCCTTCTGTCAAACCTGCGAAGATTCTCGGCCATCAGATCAAGGACCCCCGAGAGGCCCGCATAAGTTTCTGATATCCTGGAAGGACCAGACAAACCCGGTAAACAGTTGGGTGCCCCTGGCACAGATCGAGAATTTGCCAGCGTTAAGAGTCTACCTCCAGTCACGCAACGTGCGTGAGATCGGCGGACTGAGCTAAGACCATACCTTGGAGGGGGGAGGGTGTAAGGAAATGATATTTCCTTATTACGAGTATTAGTTAGTAAGGCGTACACTGCTATAACGGGGTTGCCGCGCAACTCTGCCGCGAAATTCAAATCGGGGCACCCAAATGTGGCCTCCTGACGAGCCGCATGCATTTTGCCCGCCTTGCTGTTTCATGCCTAGATCTAGGCGCTTCACGCCAATTTACAAACCACACGTCTCAGCTCTGCCGAGCCTCGACCGTGTGCGCTAGGCCTAGCTATATCCATACTCCCTGTTGTTTTGATGTTGCTCATTGTATTGTTTTCCTCGCTACTCAATTATTCGACACTCGCTCTTTGCGCTTCATTACACTATGCACGTATACCTTCACTTACACCCATGGCTCTTATCTAACTGCTTAACTCGTTAGTTACTATACAAGATTTGAGGGCTATAAATAAATTCACATTATAGACATCTCAAACCAGGATGTGTAGAATAACCTTGTCATACTTCTCATAACTGCTTGCAGGCACTTTCACGTATGCCCCCGCATGTGTGATGTATCATTAAGTGTGTATTCGTACAAAGTGGGATCATTATAACGTAGGATCAGAAGCCGTTATAACTGACTCTACGTAATACAACAAGGTGGTCTACCGAACTCTCTAATGCGACAGATGTGTGCTGCGCAACTATTGGTGCTGTGAAAAATCAACTCCGAAATCGACTCCATGATATGCCAGTGCTGGGAAATATCTATAGCACGTAAATAATTGCCTTTTGTTGCTTAAAAAGACAAAACACTCCAAAATATATTAATGGTATACTTTCCAAATGCCCTCCAGGCAAGGAAAATATCTGCCCCCTCACCAAAAGGGAAAGTATATCGGCGCTCAGTATTAGGGGCCTCGATAACATGTACGATCAGTGACAATATATAAACAATCAGCATTAGCGAGTTTGCAACATGTTTTATCATTCGGATTCCACCGTTAGTGAGAAACTGCAGGAAAAAAGTTTCACGAATGGTCAATAGATTTAACCCCCGCTCGCGCCAGCCCAATTTCGTCATCATTGCGGCTGGCGCGATTATTTTCCCAAGCTCCGGACGCAGTATGAGAGAACTACGTAAAGTATTCCCAAATTAAAATCGTCGTACGTCGCGCCAACAAAATTCCAAAATTGAGACCTGACGCATTTATGTCACATAAGCTAATTGGGCCACAGCAGGCCGCGCGTCGGGTGCGACATTTTCCAAACATTAACAAACGCACAAAAAACGAAAACATTTGATACGAAAGGGAAATTCTATCAGGGATCGGTGCTAAGCCAATGAGGCGTGAACATTAAACTATAGTGCACAGACGTCTCTTTTTTTTCGAGCAAGACAAGACATATAGAGTCATAATTTGGCGGAAAACTTTTCCGGTAAATACATTTGTTGAAAAAAAATCAAAAGACAACCGACATACCTCTAATAGATTATTTGTATTGAAATTAATGCAAAATTAAATGTGGTTCTAAGAGTACCTTGACGTGCTTTTAAACATATTCATTTCCCAAAAATAAACCCTTCAGATATCTATACATGTTATTGTTTTCGGGCGACTCGGGAATGACAACAAGTTTATGGCTTGACTTTTTGGGGGGCCGTAAATGCGGTAGAGACAAAGCCGCCATTTTTAGTCATCGCGGGACTCGCTACCATGTATGACGAAAGTATGTGCTTCGAAACAAAATCGTGTTTTCGTGTTTCTCGACTATCGAATTTCCAATGAATTTTAATTTGGGCATTTTGCGTTTTTTTTTTCGCTCGAACTGCGCCTGGAGCCCGGGAAAAATGTTGTGCCAGCCACAACGATGACGAAATTGGGCTGGCGCGGGCGGGAAAACGTTCCGAAACGAGCGGGGGTTACTTCTACTTACCATTCGTGGAACATTTTTCCAGCAGTTTTTGACTAATGGTGGAATCTGACTGATGATTCATGTTGAGAACTCGCTATTTCTGATTGTTTATATCATGTCTTTGACCGTACATGTTATCGAGCCCCCTAATACTGAGCACCGATATACTTTCCCTCACCAAAACCCACCATTTTACCATAATCTAATAAACGAGCCTCCCAATGAAGGAGCATCCCAGTAAACAAGCCAACAAGGCGCGCACTGTCTGACTCCGCCCTATCTCCCACTCGAAACCCCAAAATAAAGCTTCCGCTAGTCCCGTCTTTGCGAGAGAGGCCTGCCTGACTCTGCCCCCCTGCGACGAGCTATTTCTGCACCTTGCGTGGAATTGATGTCGCGATCTGCTTGAGGGTGCCAAGGACCGCGCCCGTGGCCTTACTGAGCACCTCACTCACCTTGTTTTCTGCCTCCTCCGCCTTCGTCACCGCTGCGCGCAGTGCGTCATCCGCCTCACTCTCATCCTGCTTCGGCTTAGCCTCATCTTTCTTTGGCTTAGCTTCTTCCTTCTTCAGCTTAACTTCGTCCTTCTTCGCTGCAGCAGTCGTTACAGTATGGGGGGGTCCTTTTTAAGTTGGCATCCTTGGATTTGTACGACGTCTTAAAGAACCACCTGCTCCGTCGTTACTCAGAACGACAACTCCTTGGCGCGCAGCAGATTCTTCTCGACCTTGATCTTCCACATGGCCTTGACGTCAGACGTCTTGAGCGCCTTCCACGTGGACCCGTCGTTCGACACCTCAACGCCCTCCATGCTTCCTAGGCCAGTTGTGCCCAGAATCTGCACCTTAAACTCCTTCTCGTTGGACGTTCTGAGAACCCAGACCGCGATGCGCGACGCGTTGCCGCATGGCGCTTGCTCGTACTTAAGATCCACCGGCTTCTTCTCCGTATACTTGGAGTTCTTGGTCCACGCCGCATGGGAAATGATAAAGCTCGTGTCGTCCTTCGAAACGCCCACCACACGGACCTTCACCTTGGCGTCCGCAGCCGCGCAGCGTGAGTCGTTGACGCTCGAAACGATGTAGCACGTGCCGTACGTGGCGCCCTTGTTGAAGATCTCCTTGGGGACTCGCGCGACCTTCCCCTCGTCGAGAAGCTCGCTCTTTGTCGAAGGGCGTCCCACAATAGTCGAATTTGCCGCCAACGGTGTTGCCGATCATGCCTTGATACTTAGCCTTCGTGCTAGCAGCCTTAAGCATACGGCAGAAGCTTCCGCTGCTGGCGATATCCGTGTGGAGCAGCGTCAGCGCAAGCACGAAGGTGAGAACGAAGCGCATGGTGCAGGCGCCTGGAAGGCCCATTGACGAATCATGCAATAGTTGGGATGGTATGAGATATGAGTGAGTTGCTGCTAGAATGCGGATTGGCTTGGAGAGACGAGTGAGTTACTACTGCTTTACTTGTCGCACCAAGCTCCCTTCTATGTGTGAAAATAAAAAATCAGAGGGCGGTGAGGGCCTTTGCTGCTGGGGAATGCGGCAAGGCGGTCCGCGGACAAGCTTAGCATGCGCTACATCCTTATGGTCCCACCGCGGGGAACTGAAGCGGTCATCAATGGTGGAATGGGGGAAGGATGGGAGGGTCGCTGGGACGGAATGGTGTGGTAGCACGGAGTGCTAGCAAAGGGGAGGGGGGCCGTTGTATGGAGGGGCAGAGTGGGAGGTTGGGCTGCTGGGCTTCTGCAATGCTGGCGATTCGGGGCTTGTGTATTTGTAAGCTGTGCGGGTGTGAGACATAGTGTGCGCTGGTTCGTTCCGCAAAGTGCGGCGAGTGATAGTGCAGGTCTAGGAGGGTGGTGTTAGTGTACAAATTTGCATGTACTGTAGGCTATCTAGAGTACTCTTAGTTGACAAGCGCCTCCGGCAAGGCTACTTATCGATCTCCTCTATCTCACGATTTCAGAGTAGCGGAAAGTCGTCAATACAAGATGCGGAATTTTACTGAATCCACTAGTTCGGAATGAGAGATACAAAGCACAAACTGAAACGACACATATATGCATTTCGGATTTCAGCTGCACGCTGCGTAACACCGCGTGCATCTCGCTGTAACGCATGCGCCTCGAGTCACCCCAAGTCGCACTCCACCGAAACTGAACGCGCTCCGCGTCGGTTTGGCACCGAAACCGACACCAAGTTCGGTTCCTCTGAACGCGCACCGAATGCACTCCACTTCCAACTTCCAATTCCCTGCACAACACTTATGGCAGCTGCTGATTCCTCACGCCACATTTCCAGCAGTTGCGAACTCCTTCCTTCCTCCTCATTTCCACCTCTCATCTTCCCCGCTTTCCTCAACCACAGTTCTTCCGTACTCCCACTGCATATCGCTGCATCACCGTTCCTCCTCCACACCTAGCGCCGCCAGATTAGGTTAGGCCCGCCGTTGGCAAGGGCAGCACCGAACCATCTCCAACAAGTACAACACATATATAGGAACTCTGTCCTGAATGTGCCACTCCACTCCATTCTCTTGTTTTGATGTGGTATCATCTCTAGGTTAGATCCCAGCCTCCACGCTTCCGCCCTAGGTTCTCCCCGCTCCCCTCTCGTCCTAGCCTACGCTCCTAGATTAGGTGTTAAAATTATATAAGTTATAATTTAATATAGGCTTGGTAGGTTGTTACTGAACCTTTCTGTAGGGGGTACAAACCCCTCCTTGTACTCCCCTCTCTTCCTAATCCAACTACCTTTCTTCTCTCACTTCCTAGATCCGTTTTTCCTCACGCCATTCCATGGCGGTCTTCTTCCTAGTATCCTAGCCAACCTAGCCTCCTAAGTTTAAGAACCTTTAGTCCTAAGTTTCTAAGATGGTATCAGAGCTGGTCGTGTCCACCGGACCCTCTCCCTACGTTCCCATTGCGTACTCCTACTGCATTCGCAGCCTTCGCGGTTTTCTGCCTGCCTGCCGTCGCGGCACTAAGTTGTCGCGACGGCCCCTTGTTGCCTGCCGTCGCGGCGCCAGGATGTCGCGACGGCCCCTTGTTGCCTGCCGTCGCGGCACCAAGATGTCGCGACGGTCCCTCGTTGCCTACCGTCGCGGCGCCAAGGTGTCGCGACGGCCCCTTGGTGCAGCCGTCGCCCGTCCGCCTCGCCGCTGCGACATTGACGGTGCGCTGTGGCGGCGTCTGCGGCAGCCGACGGCATCGTCGGGCTACGGCCGGCCGAGCGACGTCTGTGGCGTCGCCGGGCCTGTCGCCCGCTCGCCACAGACGGGCGTCCCTCAGGACGACGTCCTCCCGCCAGTAAGCACCGCGCCATTTATGGCGCGTCGCTGAAGACTCGCCTCGCCCCGCCCCCTCCCCTCCCCCCCCCACCTGCACCTGCTTCCCCTGCATCCCCCCCTTTTCTTGCTGCAGCCGATGACTGCCATGTGAGGGACCTCTCCACCGCCGAGGAGACAGGACATGCCGCCGAGAGGGCGGGGGCCGCCGCACCAGCCTCTGTCGTTCGAGCCGCCGGCGCCGCCGCTGTTGCCGCAGGCCTGGAGCCGCCGCACACCGCCGCCGCCGCCGCCGTCGTCACTGTCGCTGCTGCCGCCATTGCCGTCTCAAGGGGCCGTGAGACCTACCCTCTTCCGGAGTCGTTGCGGCTCCTGCTGGGAATGGGGGTGCTGGGCTAGGGGGTGTGGGTGTGGGTGTGGGTGTGGGGGTGTGCGTGGGCTTGACACTACCAAGCCTAGGGGGTGTGTTAAAATTATATAAGTTATAATTTAATATAGGCTTGGTAGGTTGTTACTGGACCTTTCTGTAGGGGGTACAAACCCCTCCTTGTACTCCCCTCTCTTCCTAATCCAACTAGCTTTCTTCTCTCACTTCCTAGATCCGTTTTTCCTCACGCCATTCCATGGCGGTCTTCTTCCTAGTATCCTAGCCAACCTAGCCTCCTAAGTTTAAGAACCTTTAGTCCTAAGTTTCTAAGACTAGGTTCGTTCCTAGCCTGCCGCCCTAGCCGGAGCTCTAGTCCTAGCCTGCTCATCGCGCTGCCCACAATCGCCCGCTGCTCGCCTTGTGCGCCGTCCGCTGCTCGCCTTGTGCGCCGTCTGCTGATCGCTTTGCGCGCCGCCTGCTGCCCCCCCTCACTGCCCCTGCCTGCTGCCTGCCTGCGCATCCGCCGCCGGCCAGCTCACTGCTCGCCGCTGCCAGCTCGTTGCCCGCAGCTCGCTACCTACCTACTCGCCGCTAGCAGCTCGCCGCCGCCAGCTCGCCGTCAGCCATTCGCCACTAGCTGCTCGCTGCCAGCAGCCCGCCACTCGCAGCTCGCCGCCCCTTGCCTGCCCGCATGCTCGCATGCCCACTGCCTGCCCACTCGCACACCGCCAGCCAGCTCGCCCCCCGCTGCTCCCCGCTCGCTGCCTGCCCACTCACACACCGCCAACCAGCCGCAGCCACTTGCTGCACTGCTGCTGTGCCCAGCAAGGCCGCAGCTGCCGCAGCGCCCACAGCCATAGTTGCCTGCTCGCAGCCAGCGCCGCTGCTGCCGCCCGCATGCAGCTAGCGTAGCCACCACTGCGCCTACAGCCGCTGCCGCCGGCGCCAACGCCACCCACACTGCCACTGCTGGCGCCACTGCCACCAGCACCGCAGCGCATCCGGTGGCACTTACCTCATTTCCCTAGCGCCCGGCTCCTCGTTTCGTAGCTCCTAGCGCTCTCCTTGCCATCTCCTCGCCGTCTCCTGTATGATCTGTCACTGGACTTGCTGTCGCCCCTCTTGCCGCTTAGGCCAAATCTGATGTCGTCCGTTGCCCACGCCAACTCCAGCCCCTGTCCGGGTACGTGTGGCGCATATTTCCCCTGCTTGCATGATGGCCCCGCCGGCATCGGTCTTTGTCCTTTGGCTGGACGCCGAAGGCCATGCGGTCGGCTTCTCGGCATGGCCTCTCGCTCTCCATTGGCAACGTGTGGAAGGCGAGTCGCTGGAGGCCCATGTGACCATGCGAGTCACACACCCTTTACTTCCTCACCACCCACATGGTGAGCTACCGTCCCCCCCCCCCCTTGCCCTGCTTCCCTTGACCCCAAGGCGATAACAAAGCAGCGTGCGGAGTACGCAGCTGCCATGACCACCCTCTCTGTCTGGCCGACTCGCGACGCCGTTGCGCTGGTGGCCATCACCCGCGGTGCCTGCCTGTTGTGTCGCAAGAGACGACTTTAGCCCTTCTAGGAGGCGATTGTCGCCCACTACGTGACCTTGTCCTCCGCCACCCTAGGCTGCCTCCTCCTCTCTTTCTTCTTCCCTGACCTGGCCTCCTTCTCCACGGTCGCGGAACTCGTCACGCACCTATGCTCCCTCGAGGTCCGCTTTAGTACAGCCTGCGCACCCCCCACCCACCTTCGCCACCCTTTACTTCCTCACCACCCGCCTCCCTGACTGCCTCGCTCCTGCACGGGATGCCCTCCTTGCACTGCACCCCACTGACCTCACCATCGACCTCTTCTCCTCCTCCCTGATGGAGATCGAGACCCGGCTCCACGCCATCGCTAAGTCACTGGCGCGGTGGCAGCCCCTACCTTTCAAGGCTGCCCTCCGCTCTAGCTCCCTATCACTGGTGCCTCGGCCTCTGTCGCTATGAACGCAGCGGTGGCCACTGCACCTGGCTACACTACCGGGCGCCCGCGGCACCCTCAAGGTTGTGGGGCAGGGACAATTACAGGCGATGGAGGCGCTGGTGGGTACCCAGGCTCTACCGAAGGGGCGGGAGCAGAGGAAGGGGAGGAGCAGCAGTCGCTGTAGTACAGCAGCCTCGGCGGCAGCAGCGGAAGCAGCCACAGCGAGGCCCTAGGAGTTCTGGGCGTGCTGCGGGTCGTGGTGGTTGGTCCTCGGGGCAGTCGCTGCCCTGGGGATGGCATGGCTCCTATAGGGGCCAGGGTGGCGTGGGGCCTAGGGGTCCCGTGCACTGTGTGTATCAGATTCAGACTGGCCCCCTGCGGCGCATGGTCTGCGGGCGCACAGGTCACACTGCCGTTAGCTGCTTTCGTTGCCTGGATGATCCGTTGCGTGGTCACTTTGGGCCCCTGGCGGCCGCACTGGACTGACCTTCTCTAATCCGCCGCGGCGTCTTTGGTTTTGACTTAGAGATGGCTCAGATAGGATCTGCTTTGTTTTCATTGTAATCTTAGGATTATAGTGTGGCTGATAGGAACAATGCATCAGTCCATAGTCTAGGGTCCTCTGCTGTATCTAACCCAGGCTCCTCGCTGGCCCTGGCTCCGGCAGCCCTCTCCTTCACATTGGACTCTAGTGCGTCTCACTATTTCTTTCGAGACTGCACTGTACTCACCCCGCTTCCTACACCAGCACTGGTCTCCCTAGCTGACTCGCCTGCCGCAATCGTCGCTCCGCAACACCACGCCCCTCCCCTGTCCAGCTGTCCTACCCGGCTCCCCTACCGGCTTGCATATCCCACGCTTGCCAGGAACCTGGTTGGTGTTGGTCATATTCAGAACCTCGGTGTCACCACCACGTTCCCGAGCCATGCGCGGTATGCAGCCTGAACGGATGCAGCCACGGGTGTCCGTCTCCGCACCTTTGACCATGACCCTTCATCCGATCTTCTCACACTACACACGGAGTCCCCCTAGGAAGTTGCATCCACCCAGGTTGCTGCGTCCTGCTCCTGTCACTCCCTCACCCCACCGGCACTCCTGTGGCACCACCACTTAAGTCATCCTGCTCTCCCACGTCTGAGTCGTATGGTACACCACGGTCTAGTCATTAGTCTCCCTGTGTCGCTCCTCGCCCTCCCCACCTCAGAAGCCCCGGCGTGCATCTCATGCATCGAGGGCCAGCAGCGCGCCACCCCTCACTCCTCCTCTTTACCTCCGACCACTACCCCACTACAGACTCTGCACATGGACGACTGGAGCCCCGCCTCGGTCCAGGTCCCACACAGAGAGCGCTACTTCCTGGT